CATGATACCTGAGACTGGGCTGATTTATAAAGAATAAGTCTTAGTTGAGCTCACAGTTCTGGAGGCTGGGAAGACCAAGAGTGTCGGGGCAGTGTCTGCTGGACTTCTGGGGCTCCAACTCCAACTCATGGCAAAAAGTGTGAGAGCAACTGGGCATGTGCTGAAGAGACAGTGACAGCTGTCTTTACAACCACTCTGTCCCACTCCTTTACGAAAGACATGAATCCCGCTTAACAACCTTATCACCTCCCAAAGGCCCCATCTCCCAACACCACCGTAATGGCAAGCGAATTTCCATTATGAGTTTCAGAAGGGACAAACCATCAAGCCATAGCACTTGGATTCCAAACCTCAGATTTTACCAAGTGATTTCACTCCATGGGTCTTCCTTTTGTCCCTTTAGATCCAAATGTCATAAATGATGTAAAAGGAAAATTAGAAAAAGATGGAGAGTCAGCTACTGGCTGTCACATTTTTTGTGTGTGTGTATCGTGAAATGCTATTATTACTTTTCCATTTCAACCTATGGGTTCGTGTGTGTGTGTGTGTGTATATATATATATGTGTGTGTGTGTATGTATCAGTGCAAAAACTGGGACAGGATGCTTAGATTTAGAATAGAGGGTGGAAAGTAAGATAGAGGACAGTAGCTGAAACATTAATGGTGACTAGAGGTCTGGACATACTCTTTGAACTGAACACTTGACATCTGTCGTTGTCCTATGGATGAGTGTCAAGGAAGTGGAGTTACCTACGTTATATGTTTTTTAAAATGCATCGTCACAGTTCCTGTGCTAAATCAACTGTTAGTTTTTGTCCTGCAGGGAGAAACTATGTTTGTTTCTGCTTCTGGAGGTGTGAATGTGTCATAGACATAATGAGTGTGATGCACAACTTTTCACAAGAGTGGTACACAAAGAAGAAATGTAACACAGTCACCAAGGCATGACCCATCCAGGACAAGTGGCGTGCATAGCCTTCCCTGGCCTCCTGCTAAGCGAGTTCCCATTCCCTGTCCCACTGTCAAGCAACCTCCCAGCTATTCTCTTTGCTGAGCAAAATGCAACATCTCACACCAAATTTATTGGCTTGGCAGAGTTGCAAATTTAATTACGCAAAAGTGGAGGCTGAAGAGCGCTAAAAACAGTACACTTTGATACTGTGTAGTATCTGTATTTGGGGCTCAGGGTGTTTTATTTATAGATATCTATTAATACATAGCCAGAGATACAGAAAGAAATACATAAAAATAACTTTATCAAATAGTTTCTAGCATTCAAGTGTAACATCAAAAGCAAGAAAGGCAACAGCAAACTGTTCTCCTGGGGGAAAAAAAAAACACCATCTTTGTAGCTTCTTCTCTCCCTTCCTGTCCTTTTCCTCTCAGCGGGTGGCTGGCTGCAAAGAGCTTTTTCCTTGGTGTTTAATTGGGGGAGCGCAGTAAAGGCATCTCCATATTTATAAAAACCTCCATATTTATTCCTTTGTCCAGCTCTTTCGCTCCCCCCTCTTCTTCCTGCCTCTCTAATAATGCCTTAAGTGCAGTATCTAGCTTGTAAAACTGGTTTGCTGGGGTTCTCCTCCCTCCCCTTGATTCTTGGGAAAATTTTTCGCTGGGAAGTTGCGAGGTCCTGCTACAGCCGCCTTCTCTGGGCCTGAGTGAGGTTTCCCTTCTTCCTAGAGGACAGGAGAAGTGGGTGCTGCTGCCACAGGTAGAGACGCGGACAGAGGCTGCAGATGCCACCCCCTTGGCCTCAAGGCGCGGGCGTGCTCACACAGACAGACACCTCCACGACTCGGGATTCAAAACATGGGAGCAAGATTATACTTGGAAAGATTACACTTCCAGGTCTGAGATCCTGCACTTTTATTTACAGGTGTCCTTTTACAGACCAAGACCAAGTTGGGGACAGATCGCTGCCCAGTCTTTGATTTTCTAGTTCCAACACCTTCACAGGGTGACAGGACAAGAGGGAGGGCGGGCGGTGGGAAGGCGCTTGGGGAGGTTTTGCTTCACTTGTGCACCTGATGATCACGCATGCCCGGCACCTGCGGGGGCAGCCCCCGAAAGGTGGGGACAAGGCGGGGCAGGGAGCCGGGCTCCCAGCAGTGGTAGCCCAGGCTGGACCCAGGATGCCTGTGAGGGCGGGGGCGGTGGTTTCCGGGGAGGGACTGAAGACAGGTTGGTCCTGACTGTTGCCAGTGTTTGGTCAAATATGCCAGCAGATTAAAAAAAAAAAAAAAAAAAAAAAAAAAAGGGGTGTGTGTGTGGGGGGGGGGGGGGGGAGGTGGGGGCGGGAATCCCTGCCAAGGCACAGTTCCCAGCCACTTTTCTCCCGCAGGGGGAAAGCTTGGATCTTGTGAATGTGACATCAGCTCTTTTCTCCCAGAGGTCCCTTGCCTGAACTGGGGAGGGCAGAGCTGGCTTCCTGCTCTCGCCCAGTTCTAGAGGGAGCCTGGTCTCCCCGGGCGGGCCCCCAGGGCTGGGCTGAGGTAAGCGCGCGGAGGCAGAAGGCCCCGGGATGGGTGGAGGCATCTCCGAGAGTGTGGGTGTGGGTGTGGGTGTGGGAGGGAGGGTTCCTGCCTCTCCCCTGTCCCCAACTTTTACTGTAGTGCCTCTTTTAGGGAACAGATCTCATCCTGGACCTGACCCTGCTACTGGGTCTCCCCCACTGTGACTTCCAGGGAGGTGGAGGGGGACGAATAGATCCAAGTCCACAGCAAATAGATCCAAGTTCCACCTTGGGCAAAAAAAAAAAAAAAAAAAAAAAAATCTGTCCTTTAGATTCTAGAGGCGACGAAATGGTTCCCCAGGATCCTCCTGGGTTGTTGAGCACTAGAACTATATCCATGCAAAAATAATGCTGTGTATGTATATGAATGTACCACAGTGAATTCCACCTTTCTGTATATCTATAAAAGCATCAATTAAAAAATAATAAATAAATAGAAGACCCGTAAAATTGAGACAGGGGGAGAGAGGAAGCAGTGAGGAGCAAAATGGAGCAGATTCTATTCCTTGCACCTTACGATTGTGTCTAAATGAACCTCACTATTATGTATAACTATAATGTGCTAATAAAAAAAATTGAAAAGAAATGCTGGGGGAAGAAAAAGAAAAAGAAATGCTGGAAATCCCCCTCTCCTTCCCAGGAAAAAATTGTAGTAAAGGCTCCATCTGAGATGGAGGAAGTGCAGCCTAGACCCTAAAACCTGGACATAGACCTCTTTTCTGTGTGCAGGGAAGAAAGTCTGATTTGATTCTGTCTCCCTGCCTTCCCTAGGAGAACTTAGGTGCAGATATCCACTCTGCCTCCGGGTGCCTCTGTTTTCTCACCTGAAAAAATGGTGCTGATTGGAAAAGCCAATGTGTTACATGTTTGTTTTGCTTTATTCATTAAGGCTCATGGTCACTTGCACCTTAACTACCCTGTGGGCACCTTGAGGCATGTGCATGTGGTGGTGGTGTGGCGGTGGGGGGGGGGGGATATTTTGAGGTTAAACAGACAGGAAAATACATTATTAAATAAGGTATTAACTGATCCCTTTATCCAGTGTGGGCATTTCCTCCATCCCAACACCATCCCTAATGCATTCACATACCTCTACAAGAACACCCTTTTACAAATGAGGAAACCAGAGGAATACGTTTTTTTAAAGAACAGACTCAGGAAAGCAGTCTTTGTGAAGAGAGTAAGTGGGACATGTGGAAGTGCACCCTCTTTCCTATTTCAGGCACCCTTGCTGCCCTTCCTTGGCCCTGGCCACAGATCTGGTTTCCTTCTGTCATTTAGAAGCCAGGGCTTTTACTTTTCTTCCTAGTAGAACATCAACCCCTGTAGCTCTTCATCTCCCCCTGGTGTTCGTCTCCTGCCATTTCGGATTGTTGGTATTGACAGTAGGGGGAGTTGGAAGGGGAAGCAATGGGGGAGCACAGAGAAGAAATTATGGGGGCTTCTAATCAGTGATATTGGGGGAAAATGGGATAGGTGCCTGACAGGGCTCTATTTTTTTTTTCTTCTAAATCTCCCTTTCCTTGCCAATCCCTCACGGACCTTTCTTTCTCACTGTAGATGCAAAGAATATGAGTCAAAAAATAAAGAAAGACTTGGGGGGGGGGGAAGGGGGCTTGAGTAAGAGAGAAGCAGGTTGATGCCAAAATAATTTGACCCAGAGTCTGGGGGAGCCACGGGGGAGGGTGTCCCCTTGTTTGATCAGGAGTAAGAAATTAGAGAGACATAAAAGGAAAACGAAGTGAACAATGAAAAAAAAAAAAACCCCCCCCCCCCCCCCCCCCCGCACACAATACAATCTATTTAAACTGCAGCTCATACTTATCATACCAATGGTATGACTTTTTTTCTGGAGTCCCTCTTCTGATTCTTGAACTCTGGGGCTTGCAGCTTGCTAAAGGGGAAGCAGACTCCGGCCCTGCACGGGCAGGTTTACCAAAGGTCTCTAATGGGTATTTTCTTTTTCTTAGCCCTGCCCCTGAATTGTCAGACGGCGGGCGTCTGCCTCTGAAGTCCGCAGTGATTTCCTTTAGAGCGCGGCCTTATCTCTGGCTGCACGTTGCCTGTTGGTGACTAATAACACAATAACATTGTCTAGGGCTGGAATAAAGTTGGAGTTGTTTACCCCCACTCTATAGGGGTGCAATATAAAAAGCCGGCCCGAGAGCTGTCCAAGTCAGACGCGCTTCTGCCTTGGAGCCGGAGCGAGCGAGCGAGCGGGTCCGGGTCTCCGCTGCTGCTGTCCCTGCGCTCGGCCGCCGCGTGCGCTCGCAGAACGCCTCTCCTGCCTTCTCGGCTGGCAGAAAGGGCTTTTATTTTTATTTTTTTATTTTTTTTGCCTGTGAAAGGGCACTTAAGCTGGAAGGATCGCTTTGAGATCTGAATAGCTAGAAGCGCTTCTAGGGAACCGAAGCTCTTTTCTTCTGAGTTCAGTTCGCGAAGGCGGTTTTTTTTTTTTTTTTGTTTATCCTCTTTTTTTTTTCCAGAATGGATTATTTCCCCATGATTTTCTCTCTGCTGCTGGTGGTTTTCCAAGGAGCTTCAGAAACAGGTAGGCACGGCCGACTCGGGAATCTGGGAACGCGAATGTCTTCTGATCCACCTTCCTGACGTTCTTGCGTCTGTTTTCTCCCCTTCACTTGATTATTGCGGCTCAGAAAGCAAAAGTATCTGGGAAGGCTCGCTCCACGGTATTGAAGTTTCTAGTGAAAAAAAAAATTCAATTCAAGATCAATAGCTTTCAAATGACTTTTTAAAATTGTTATTGCAAAATGTATTTTCTTGACTTTAAAAAAAAAATAACTCAAGAAAAAGTGAAGGAGCAGCTGCCGTTTAGCCAAACGTACAGTTTGCAATACGTGTGTTCATACAGGTACATGGTTTGCTCAGGATCTTATTATATCTTATTTGAACACTGCCTCAATAGTGTGTTAATGTGTAAAGTATTTAAACATTCCAGCTTCAAGCCAAGGAATTTTATTCAAGTCACTCAAGCACTATGTGAGCTGTAAAATCACCTGCAGAAGGACAGTGTGTGGAATAACCCCCTAGGCGGTTTCAGGATGGAGCAGATGTTTTCTTTAAAATTTGTCATTATTGACTTTAGGTTTCTTTTGGCAGATTTTTGGCACCCCAAACAGTGTGAGCTCTATTTTCAGTTGTATTCACCTGTCCTGGGAGGGAAGCTGGGATAATTCTTAGCTGCTTAAGGATTTAGACAGTATGTGTGCATCTTTTTTTTTTTTTTAGGGTCAATGCACTTTTTTTGTCTTTTCATGACCCTGACCAAAGAGAAAGGGACGTCAAGGGAATGAAAATCCTGGAATGTGTCTGATCATTTGAAATGTACAAAATCAGGCAGATAAGCTGCATGGCCAGATTGTCTGTAGGAAGAGGCAATGCTGAGTTAGGGAAGAGGGAGATGTACATCCCACCGTCACGCTGCAGAGGGATTGTGGATTCAAAGTCCTCAGAACCTTTCCTAGGTCTCTTAAGTGGCTTCTTGGTCAAGGTTTCTGTGTTTTCCCACCTGAAATGAATATTGCAGAGTTAATTTCTCTGCTGTCTCTAATCATGTCTCTGATAGATTTCAAGTGGTCTGTATCATACTATCATATATCATCTGGACCACTCTACTATGTGCCCTGTATAAGGTATAAAGTGGTTGGTACCTCCTAAAGGGAAGCACACCCTGTGTGGGGAAGTGGTCCCAAAGACAGGAATAGTCAATGTTTTAATTGTCATCAGCCAATTTTAAGCCACCCTCGGTTGTGCTGTCTTATGAAGTTCCAAGCAGAAGCCAACTCAAATTTCAGGTAGAGAGTATTTTGAAGCATTTCCTTGAAGGGTTCTTCCAGGGGGCTGGTAAGTCCCTGTTCAGGTGTTTATCTCTTGTGCATTTGTATAATCTTCCTGCAGGTGGATAAGCCAGCCAGGGTAAAGGTGAAGTCATGTTAAGGAGGAAAAAAAAAAAGAAAGAAAGAAAGAAAGAAACCCTTTCCTTCTGTTGTGTTTTTGGCTAAGAACAGTAGTAACCTTCATCTGCTCTGATCTGCTGTGCTAAATCTGGTGTCAATACTGTGATCCAGCCTGTCTCTGGGCATCGGAGGACACGTCCCTCACTGACCTGCTTTTTCTCTCCTCTCTCTCTGCAGCTGTCTTGGGAGCTGAGCTCATGGCCGGGGCTGAAAGTGGAGGGGACAAGTCCCCTCCCAACACAACCTTGAGGCCCCACCGATTCAAGCGCTGCTCCTGTTCTTCCCTGATGGATAAGGAGTGTGTCTACTTCTGCCACCTGGACATCATCTGGGTCAACACTCCCGAGTGAGTCTCTAGAGGGCATCGTAACTCCAGTCTTTCCTTAACATTGACTACCCCAGAGCCCTGTTACCAGCATTCCTGTGCTGGGGAGTACCTGGCTTGGGATCCGAAGGCACCCCTTCTGACAATGGGGAAGTGCATTAGTGGACACGATACTCAGACAGGACAGCTTGATTCTTAACAACTGAGAAGAGGGTCTCCTGATGCCCTGTGGCTCAGGCCACTCATTATGGAATAGAAAGAAGGGCTGATGACAAGCCACAGCTTCTGAGCACTGCAGATGAGAAACTAAGTGAGGGAGGTCAGCGGTGGGTGCAGACTGGGTCTGGGGAATACGTTGCCCAGGTCCTGTGTGGGTTAGGCCCACCTCTGCTTCTCATAGGAGGGTTCAGGGTCAGAGGAAGAAGGGATAGCAGAGAGTTAGGATCCGATGCTTTCATTTTACTTACAGAAAAACTAATATCCCAAATACTGATGTCCCTTGTACAGGAGTAAGTTTGTGGCAGAATTAGAACCGGATCCTGGATCTCCTTTTTCTGTACTTTCTCTTTAGAAAAGCCTATTTTAAGACAAAAATAGAAATAGAAATTTCCACCCTTGGGTGTCTCTTCCCCTTCTAAGAGTAAAGAAAAGCTGTGTTCTCCCTTCTGTCCTGAAAACCAGTTTATCCATCAGAAGTAAAAAGTGAGCACATTGTGGCCTATGTTATGGCAAGAGATGACCAAAATCCAAACCAGACTGAACCAAACCACCATGGGCCTTGTACTTCCTTAGTGAGGTGGTTCTTCCAAAAAGAGAACTTTATTCTTTAGGTGAGAGTCAAAATGGACCCCTTGCGAATTCTTGGCAAACCTTCTGACATAAGTTCTACTGCCATGGGGCTTCACCAAACTCCAAGAGAAATGTGCAAACTTGTGCCTCCTTCCCACAGCAGGGGCACTTTTACCATTATCCTATAATATCGAAATTGAAAATAGAGTTTAAAAATCTTATAAATCCTGGTTTTGCCTTAAGATCTCTGCTCTCTGCTCCTCCCCTTGAGCAGCTATTACCTTAAGAGCATTTTAGGAAAGGAAGAAAATATGAAACAGAAACAAGAACAGAGATTTCATGATTTGGGACAAAAAAAAAAAAAAAAACAACAAAAAACAATGTTGCCTAGATGGAAAAGAAATTGAACTTTGTTAAGAGTTGAGATGACCCTTCATTGAATCAGGAAAACTGGTTTTCCCTTGGGTGGGCGTACACCCTCAGGTCAATGACGGGCATGTGTCCTCGGTGGTTGCCACACTGTACATTCTTCAGTAACTCTCCCCAGGGCTGGGTGACTAGCTCCCTGTGTGTCCCGTGGAATGGGTTTGCCCCAAAGAGTGTGCCATTAGGAAGACTATTAATTATGCTGATGTTTCTCTCTTTCCACAACAGGCGCATTGTTCCCTATGGGCTCGGAAGCCCTTCCAGGTCCAGACGATCCTTGAAGGACTTGTTTCCCATAAAGGCAGCAGAGCATGGGGGCAGATGCAAGTGTGCCAGCCAAAAAGACAAGAAGTGCCAGACCTTCTGCCAAGCAGGGAAGGATCTCAGGTGAGTAGAAGCACCTCTGCTCCCTCAGTGCATTGTGCAGCCTCCTGGCTTCCTCCCCGAGGAGGCTCCTTTCAGAGAGAGTTGCAGGGGTGTGGAGGGTCAAGTTGAGTCTGAAGGTTCCACTGCTGAAATGTGTTTTCCTGGGTGTTTTCACAGGGCCCAAGACACGATGGAGAAGGCCTGGAATAACCGTAAGAGAGGAAAAGACTGTTCCAGATTTGACAAGAAGTGCATCTATCAGCAGCTGGTGGCGGGAATAAAAATCAGAAGGTAAGATGCTCCTAAGAACAGTTGCCCTGCTCACCGGTGCCCACGGCCCGCGTGGCAGTCCCTCCTGCCCATGTTTGGGAAAGGGCTTTGGATACAGTGGCAAAGGGGCTCTTCATAGGTGTCCCTTAAAGAGAGCGAAGAAATCCCTTTCAAATATTTTGATGAAGCCCTCAGTACTTCAGCAAGTAGCTTTTCCCAAGCAAAATAAACCCCGAGACACCTCTGTTGTTTGACCATGTCTAGTCTTTGCCTGAGTACATGTATTTGCTTCTTTCCTTGAGAAATTAAAAAAAAAAAAAACAAACAACACTTCAAGGAGAGGACTTTTTTTTTTTTTTAAGTCCAAGAGCCAGATACAGTCAAGTTCTTTCAAAAGTGGCAGTTATTCAAATGGCCAGAGGGACAATAACATCATGAGGAAGGGCTGGTGAGATTTGAAACATGTTCGTTTTTCAGGTTCTTCTTATTATTATTTTTAAATAGAGGAAGGCAATTGTGGAAAGTCAGCGTCGTTCCCAGAGTTCTCTCATTTCTTAGTCTGTTGTGGGCTGGGATGGAGGAGCCATCTGGATGAAGCAATCTCGTGGGGTTGCTATGGGCAACTCTGCAGTGATGACCCTTCCGAGTCCTCAAGGTTTTGGAACACTCAAGCTTAGGTTCAGATCTGTCACATGTCCTTCATATCCCTATTATGGTCTCTGGAAACTTTTCCTAGAAACCCAAGGGCAAGGAGTTCTGTGATCAAAGTGTTCAGAAGCCAGGCTTGGCAGTGCTGAACCACTTCTGGCTTGTTTATGACTGACGTGGAGGACAGCTCAGCCAGTGTTCCTTCTCACCTGCCATGGGGCACATTCTGTATTTATCTCAGGCCAGGAGTGCCCTCTACTAGACCACAGGGGCTGAACTGACCTGAAAAATGATTTTTTCTAGTAGTTTGTACCATGTCCATGGTTACATCAACATAACAGCTCTTTCCTCTTTTTTTTTTCTTGCAAACAAACAAGCCCAATATTTAAAAATTGCCATATTTTCTTTGAGCCTACCCAGATACCTTTTCTTTTTTCCTTTCTTTTTGACTTTTGTCTTCAATTTATCATGTGATTTAGAAGATTCCTCTAACTATTGTGCTAAGTTTCTCCATAGTAGCAGAGGTGGAAACGAGGCTACAGAAAATATTCAAACATCCCTGGCTTATTTTAAAATCGTATTTAGTGGCCAATTCACCTTAGACATGACTGTATGAACTCTCTCCCCGTTCTTAGGCAAAAGGGCAGGCTTTATTTTCACAATGGTAATAGATGCCAGTTGAGGTTTTATCGAAAACCTGTTTATCACTGTTGTGGTCCATGGTGAAAGTTCAGGAACCAGGTCTAGATTTGTTTGTGCCAAATTCTAATTTTAGAAATTTCTTGGGCCAAGGAGCGATTTCTTCTTTATTTTTGTAACATTTTTTTTCCTTCCGTCTTGTTTTAATAGGTTGGACGCCATCAGAAACAGTATCAAAACATCTTTTCGTGTTGCAAAGCAAAAAGCCCAATCTTCCAGAGAGAAGAATGTGACCCACAACAGAACACATTGATTACAAATCTTCTGGGCCCGTGTGAAGCCATCGCCTCCAGAGAGAGAGAGTCCCGTGGCTGACACTCTTCTCCTACCGCAGTGGCTGGGATCAGAGCAAGAGAACCTTCCCTGCCTAGACTACTTCTACTCCAGACTGGCAAAGGACCAGCGTCCTCATTCTGAACATTCCAAGAAAGGTCTTCATTGGCTCCATTGGTGGTAACTGCTTTTGTGTCTCAGGTCTTTGGGAAAGACAAGGGACTGCTCAGAAAGCAGAGACACCGTGACACCCGTGACATCCGAATGGGGTGGCATCCTCCAGATGGAGGAAGGAGATTCCACACCAGGGTGGAGTTTCTGAAGAAAGGCCTAAGGGAGAATTTGTGTCTGACTCAGGCATCGGGCACATTTCAGGGAGAAACTCCAAAGTCCATGCAAAGATTTTTCTAAGGACTGAACAAATTGAAAACAAACTCGAAGGACAAGTAAAGAAGAGGGGGGGGGAAAAAGACTTTGTTTTTAAGTCATAAAGTGCAAAAGTGAAAGAAACTGTTACTACTGTAAATCGGGATGAGTTTCATGAGTATGAGTCTACCTCACCTATCTTGCACTCCGGCAGGTGTACTTTCCACTTTTAATTCTCGCCTCCCCAAATTCTTTCCCTTCCTCCCAGCACCCTCAACTTCCCATGCTAAATCCTGGTCCCATTGATGTCTGGTCCCATGTGTCAGGGGTAGATAAACATTCCGATGCTTATCTTCTAGCTCTGATCCGTAAGAAGAAGATGACCCTTCAATGAGGAGACTCCCTTACCTTGAGTTTGGGGAACACAATGGTATAGGGTTGTTTATGAAAGATACAGGGAAGGAGATGTTGGTTCTGCTTTAAAGCAGTAAAATTATTTTCTTTTATATAACCGACGAATGGAAGAGGTTAGATTGAATTCTGATGTACTTATTTTTTTATAGATATTTATATTCAAACAATTTATTCCTTATATTTACCATGTTGAATATATGTCTGGGCAGGCCATATTGGTCTATGTATTTTTTTTAAAATGTGTATTTCTGAATGAAATCGAGAACATGCTTTGTTTTGCCGGTCAAGGTAATGATTTTAGAAAATAAATATTTTTTTCCCTACTGTACTGAATTTTGAATCATTTCTGAAACTCTTGAAGAGCGGGCCAAGGGGGAGAAGAATTACCAAGGGAAATGGTTCAAGATGGTTTCCTAGAAAGGGGGCAGGAGGAGGAAAGGAGACCAGGCTGATCCAGAGAGATCGTGGTTTATATCTTAAAAGTTGCTTTTAGATGGCGTCACAGCAAAATCAACACAAAATGAAAAAAATAAAAATAAATAAAATAAAGCAGCTTTAACTTCTCTGTCCTCCCTTGGATGTTGTGTCCTACTTCCCCGTCACCTGAAAAACTCTCCAGGGACTTTATCCATTAACGTCACTCCTCCAGCTATGGGACAGGATCCAGGTGGTGATAGGTGCTTTCTCCATATTAATGGGCTGGCGGAAGTAATGGAAAGACGACCCCTCGCAAGACACCCAGTGGCACGCAGTTCAACATTGCAGTCACTCCTGGAAATGGCCCATCTGTCAGAGCCAGGAGAGAGCAAGGTTCCTGCTGGCTTCATATTTGCTCAGATTAAGAATTTTGTTTATTGAGGAACATTGAGTACCGTGGCTTCTTCATGGTAGTGCAGGACTGGCCAGGTGCCCGTGGCAGCAGAGACACCAGGTGCTGGTCCTGAGTCACCTGCCCTGCAGCACCACTCTCCTCTCCACTGCAGGCCTCCTCTGGCCTTCCAGACCGTTGGAGCCAACAGGGTTGTGAATGGCCATTACCCACAAAAGCTCCTCCAAGCTGGGAGGGCCTTCAGAAGCCTCACCGCCTTCTCGAAGAGTGGCTGACAGGAGGCCAGCACTCAACAGGCATTAGCTCCTGGAGATCACTGATCAGTGCCCCAGCAGGGGGACCACCCTCAGGTTGGCAATTCTCATCCCCCTTGGCCCACTCTTATCTGTTTAATGAGGCGGTGGGGGGATTTTTCTAACAGCTCCCCAAAATGGTCTGAGGTTACATGAAGACGTTGAAGGGGCACAAAGAAAACAGACCCCAACTCGGGGATAAAACATGGACCCTGGGATGGGAGGGGCGCTGAGTAGAATAGTTCCAAAGACCACACAGCAAGGAAGAGTGGTGGAGTTGTTTTGCTGGTTTGTTTTTATCAGCCCGTCTTTTCCATCTCTCTCCCTGTGCTCCCTGCGTCAGTCACTAGCAAGGAAAATGAAAGGTGTCTGGCAGCTCCCGAGGACTTGAGGACCAGCCTTAAATTGCATTGGGAGGATCTTCAGAAACTCCTATTTTCCAGTCAGAGCAGAGAGTCCACAATACTCAAGGGCCATACAAAGTGCGGGGTGAGCTGACGGGCTGGTCTCTCACTCTCCCTGCTGTTTTCCCAGTAAAAGCCCAGTTTCTGGAAGCCCCCTTCGAACAGATTTCTCCCTTCACACTAATGGCCCAGCAGAGCTTTGATCTCCGGACTCCAAGCACCAGCAGACCCTGAGCCCCTGGTGGACCCCGGGCAGGGAGAGGTGACCTTTGGCAGGGGGAGTGGGGAGAGGACCCCACTAATGGGAACTCACTTTCTCCCCAGGGATTGTCTTCTTTTATGATAGGAACTACAGGCTTAACCACCTGTGCTTTCCCAAAACAATTCAGGGAATTATACTAAACTAGAGTTGCCCCAGGAAGACTCTTGCTCATGTAGAAAAACAGAAAAACTTTAATTTTTTCCCTGTGAAAAAGCCAAGGTCCAGAGAGGGAAGTGATTGACCTAAGATCATACAGTAAGCTGTAAGCTGTGGCATCTCTGGCGACAGAACTCTTCAGTTCTGGAGAGCTTGCTGTTTCACCCAAAGGCACCTAGAGGTCAGTGGAAACAGATGTCCAAGCAAACCTTCATGAAGGGTTCTGTGTGGTAAAATGCAAAAGCACTCTATGAAAGCTTGGCCTCCCAGCCTTACTGATAGTGGTTGGGAGACTCATCTCCTCAAGATGAAAGAGAAGAATCAGGGCTGGGGGTGCAGCTCAGGAGTACAGCCCACGACTTCCTGTTCAAACCCCAGCCCAGCCAAAATAAAAATACAGGGAAAGAGAAAAGGGGCTTTGAGAGGCAAACACACCTTACTGCATCATTAAGTAAATTTCTACAGGCAGAAGAGAGTACGATTAGGAACTTCTAATTATTATTGTTTTAGATTTAATTACCAAATGATGACTCCATAATATAAGTGAAAGAGAATTCTTTGGGTCATTTCTCTTTCATTCTATAGTGAACGGCCAATGTGTTTTACAAAATTTCCATGTCTAAAATCTTCAAAAATGCTTTTCAAGCCAAGTTCTCAATGTGCAAATCTGTGCTGTTTCCATATCGTGTTCTCAGTGGGGTTCCTCCCACCCTGTCTTCCTCCCTCATTTCCACTCAGTCTGGGGTCCTGAGTATGAAGCTCAGGACAGCAAGTGTCTTTGCTCCCGTGACCTCCCGGGTTTAACCACAACCCCGCATCTTTGCAGAGAACTTGGTTTTCCATGACCTTTCCACATTCCTTCTCCCATTTGACCCTTCACCACACAGTCCTTTACAGGAAGTTGGGACCACGTTATTTACCCATGGGACAGTCAAGGACAGGGACGTCTGGAAAGGGTGAGTGACTTGTCCACAGTCCTCCATCATCAGATGAACAGCAAAACTGAAACTCAAAATTTCTGACACCTTTTTCTTAAATTTACTGCACCAGAGGCATAGCATGGGTACTAGGGACTGGAGAAATGTAGATTCTTTCCAGATTGTCCATGAGCTTAGTGGAAATTAGTTTTTTTATTTTATTTTATTTTTTCTGGGGCAGATCAATGCTCTACATGTCCTCTGAGCCCTAGCAGTACAAAAATTTCACTTGCATAACATTGGGCGAATTAAGTCCTCCTTATTATGATGACGCACAGTTGGTAGAGAGCTTGCTGTAATGTACCGTGTCTGTCTCTGAATCTGGCACCAGGAAAGACATCGGAAGAAATTACATCGATGCCTGTGACGGCAGGGGCTGTCCAGTTCCCTTCAACCCCGGGCAATAATCAGAAAAAGAGTTGGAACTGGTGCCACTGGATAATGAAAAGAGAAGGGCCTAGGCCTGGGGACACCAGATGATGGAAATGATGGATCCCAAGAATGACAGGTTGCCCACAGCTGGAAGCGGCGACACATCAGGAATCTGACATGCAGCTTTACTGGCTCAGGAGCTTCCGTGTCTCTGTATTCTGTTCTATTTATTTATTTTTTAAATATTCTGAGTAATCCCAGGCCCCTTCTGCCCAAATTGCTGTGGAAATGTCCAGGGGTGGTGTTTGCAGTATTAAGCTATTGGCATGGCATGGCATGGGCCCTGATCAGTTGGAACAGACTGGGACAGAGCTGTGGTGAGACTCCTGGTGATTCCAGCCTGACCAGGTGTTAACCCTCCAGATGTTGGCTTGTGAGGAGGGCTTATGGCTTGAAATGGGGGCAGCCAGGGTGACATTTCCAGGTTCCTTTCTGCTATGGATATTTACCAACCGGGAAGAAATCATTTTAGTATCTTTCAAGCTGGAATAGGCTCCCTGGGGTGTCCCCTTGTATGTCAGACTCAGAGAAATCAAACTGTTCTCTGCTTGATGAGTCACCTTCTTCACAGCATCACCAAGTGCAATGACATTATCTGGATGCCAACAGAAGTTTGGAGTCATCTTTTTCTGCCCACGCACCTTGTCACCTTGTTGTGCATCGTCCTCTGCGGTACACGTGCCCCTCACCCATGCTGTGCGCTCCTTTGCTCTAAAATCTTCTTTGTCTTCTTGAAGATTTTTTAGCAGGGCAATTTTATGGTTATCAAACCCAAGGTTTGCCTAAGAGCACGGTTTGCTAAGGCCCTACCCTAGGTCTGCTTTAGGAAGAGACACGAAGAAGCTGG